AGCTCCAGGAAGCAATCTGTTTCCTTCTATTCCAGTAGTCCCTGCAGGGTGATGCAACTCTACTGTCTTTAGTGTAGAACAGCAGCTGCAGGCAAGGGTTAATTCCTGAAAATTATGGGTGAAAAGGAAAATCAACCCTGTTAACTACTTCTGTATATGAAACTGGGTCATAGCCCATACAAATTTGTTTGCTTGGACCTTGTCTATTATAGCGTTTCTAGATTTTCACAAGTCCTAAAATAGCAGGGAAGAGGGAGAGTGGGGTGGATGAAAATGAAGGTAAATTGTCAGTCTCCTTTGGAATGATGTCAGTATGCTTCCTGCTACTGAAATACATTTGTTACCTTTTTCAAGAGCAAAACTCAGTGGTAAACCTAAAAAAAAACCAAAACAAAACAAAAACATGTTCCATGTTTCACTGGTGGCTGCTGGAAATTAGTTTATTGTAGGGTTTGGTTGTGTTCCAGTGTAACAAACACAGAATGTCATCTGTCTCCTCTATTATAAACTTCTCCATCTCTCCTCAGTAGTGAAGTCACCTGTTCTTTTGCCAGATGTAGGTTTGCTCTCAGACTTAAAACAAAGATTCTTCAAAGTCAGTGTGTGTAGCACCCTAGCAGAGAGCACCATATCCAAAAGCAGAAGGAGCAGCTGTGCAACAGAGAGGATTCATCAGCGGTCAGGGAGGAACATTTCTCGTAGATGACTAATAGTAAGGGATGGGCAAACCTTGTGTTGTTTTGAGGTTTTGTGAACCTTGCGAACTGTACTTTTGGTTTCACAGCATTTGTGAACTGTTCCCTCTTCCACCTTGTCCTTCTCCCCATGGTATTTTTCAGGATGGGAGTTTTGTTGATGTTTTTTTCTTTTTTCCCTGTAAAAGAGAAATCCCTTTCTGTATGTATGAATGCTTGAACAATCTTTCCACTTCAGCAGGTTCTCAGCAAACTACTGGGTGTGAGCAGTTTCTGTCCATATCATCACCTCTTTTTCTCAGTATTTGCATTTTAATGATATTTTTTTCTCAGTATTAAAACACAACATGGGAAAGGGCCCTTCTGGGTCAGTATCAAGAGGAACTACAGCTTATTCTTTCCGTAGATCTATCTAGCTCCAGTTTTAAATGAGTTAAGTTTTTTCCCTTTACTCTTCCTTTAATCTAAATAATCTGATTTTGTATAATTCTATAGTATATTCTTTTACATTGTGTTTGTGTAATATTTGTCATCTCTGCTCCCTTTTTCTGTCACTCAACTGATCTTTGAAAGTACATGTCATAATCAGGACCCTCCTGGTTTCATTAAGTCTTTGCACCACTCAGTCAGGTCCTTGGGCTCCACAAAATTTTACAGGATTTTAGAATAGAAAACCATATTCCTTCTTCATTGTCTTCTGCAGGAATGAACATCCTCAGACTGACTATCAAAGAGATACTTTTATATTACTATGTCCTCATTTAAATCTCTGTTATACCATGGATGTATGTTACATGTTTAAAACAGGTTGATCTGTTGTGTATACTGCTACCACGTCACATTTGATGAATTGTAAGGAGAGAAACTTCCTCAGACATTACACTGGGGTGACCTGCAAGGTGACCTGAAAGGAAATAGTCAATAGTTTGGAAACTTTGTTTACTGAATTGCAGTTTGAATATCTTTATCTTATAAATGGAATGGAATTATTTTATTTTACTTTTTCTTTTCAGGATAGTATTTTGGTAGATTATTGCTGTGTTCTAAATTTTACCTTTAGTGGATGCCAATTATGTTAATGAATTCCAGCTGACCAATCAAAGAACAGTCCAAGCTATTTTCTGTTTGTCAAGTATACTAATTGAGATCACTATATGCAATTTAATTGTGTTGGTAAATACTCTAATGTTTCATTTCTAAACAGTTCATCTTTTAATGGAGGAGAAGGAGTGGGGGATTTAGTAATTTGCCAAAAATGAAGACATATTTTCTAATTACACAGATTATTCATTAGCATCAGTGCTTACAAAAAATCCCCTAAGGCACAAATATATATATATAAGTTTTAAAAAAGGAAGTAAAGCTTTATCTAAAATAGAACTTAAAACAGAAATTGAAGCCAACTTTGATGAGAGCTTCACACATTTTAAGCTGACTCTAGGGTACACAACAAATAGATGTGGAGTGTTGCAAAACTGAAATGGTAAAGCAACAGAGCACAGTCTGTATACTGCCAAGATACAGGAGAAGAATTGTCCAAAAGCCCTTGGTGCAATTATAATGAATTAAATATGCAAACTATGCTGTGTAGAATTTCTGCACTGTTTACTATCCTGCCATAAAAGGATTTCTCGATGGAGAAAGTGACTTTTACAAGAATTGTAGATTTGTAATAGGAACAAGCATCTTTGAGTATATAGCCTGAGAAAAATTGAGGCTCTTTAGTTGAATTCAGTTCTTTATGCAAGAATATCTTTTCATTTGCATTACTGCAACAAAATTAATATTAGGGCCACCGACAGAGATGTGATTTACTACAGGTAAAAGGATAGATTGGCAGATTTATATTCCCTAAGCACTTTCCCACAACAGCTCTTCTGATGACAAGCCAACCTAGCAAGTTTTGGCTTGCAGTTTCGGTGGTTTGCAAACTGTTTCATTTTGAAAGTATGGGAGTTACTCAACACCGGGGGCCAAATGATGATCTGTATTGTGCTGGAGTTACACTTGTGCTTCTCTGGTTACTATTTTTGAAAAACTGCTAATGTACACTGCTGCTCAGATCATGATCTGGTCCAGTTTCCTATACATCGTCGAAGGTGGTAGAAGAGAGAAAATGAAATTCATCTCATCTGTGGTAGGCCTTTGAATGTGTCTGTCATTTTTGCATTAAGTCTAGGGAATGCCTAGGGCACATACTTTATACGCCTACTGAACTGCCCTGTTAAGATGCATATCTCTGCACTGACTGTAGGAGCAGTCTGGTTACGTAACCACCTTAGACCAAAATCTTAACCTTTACACAGCTAGAGGGAAGGAGTCCCACTCTAGGGACATTGACTGGAAAAGGAGATTGTGTATTCTTCATCAATACCTTTGAAAGAAAAATGGTCCTTTACATTAGCAATGCTTTTGCTTGTAAAGGTGTTCATACTGGTTTTTTATAGCCTAGATTAATGTTAAAAGTTTGCTAAGCCTCAGAAGTCATTGTAATGTCATCCTGCAATACAAATTTTTAAAGAATGTTTTTTAGGGGAAAAAAAGTGCAAGAACATGAAATCTAGTGCAAATACCGCCCTCTGCTTTATGCTGACTCTTCCCAATCAAGAGCAGTAATTGAGTTGCATCATGGAAACTACTTTTATGGGTACCAGAAGTCAAGGAGCTGGTTTTTTCCAGGTGATTGCAATTGATTGACTTTGTTTTTCATGAAGTGTGAGCTCTGAGTGAAAATATTTATAAGGTCTTTCTGCTGCTCTTGGTGTCTAACATGGAATGACTTCATGCTACAGTCATTCTTCCAGTGAGGGTCAAACAAAGCCTGTTGGGTAAGTGAGGAAATGAAGAGCTACTGTAGGAAAAACTGCAAGAGCACGTCAAATGTAGGCTAGTCAAAGAAGATCTAAGAAAGGCTGGAATGTTTCTTATGAATATATCAAGGGACTAATTACCAGTAAGTGGGAAAAGAAAAAGGGTGGTCATGGCCCAAGATAAAAGTCACGAATCAGTTTAGACTGTGAATTTGAAAGTTTTCAAGAAAGAAATCATGCTCTGGGGCAGTCTTCTGGGGGAGCAAAAAATCCAACTGCTGTTAAAATGAGCTTGATCATTTTAAGAAAAAGATTATATAATGTTAGATAACAAGAAACTGCACTTGGTGACCTCAAAACAGTCTTTTGATAATAGATTTTGAAGGCCATAGAACACAGAGCACTCCTGCATTCTCTGCTTCTAGTCAAAGCCATTAATAATTATCAATATGTAGCTTAGGACACTTCCCTTCATGATAAAAAAGCATTGGAAACTGCTGATAATCTCCTTGGAATTCTGTAAGTGATGAAATGTTCTATGGTATGATGGAGAAAAAAAATTGATATTAAGGTCTTATCTAAAGTGGGAAAAATTGTTACCTATTTTTTGGCAGTTGTTCAACTGTAGGAGTAATACTGGTTGCACAAAAGATAGTGCCCATAAAACTGAAACACCCCCACTACTATACCCTTTAATTCAGAAAATATTCCTGTTTATGTTTTGGTTTTTAAAATTGCTTTTTGAACATTCAGGTTACCTCATTACTATGGCTTTGTTTTGTATCTGTGTTGTGTAGGACAGACATGGGATGATGTTGAAAGTCTTTAAAATGGTTTTGCACAAGTAAAGGATTCAGGTATAGCTGTAAACTAAGCTGTAGTTTAAAATAATGGCAGAATTTGGACTAATATGAAACACTTTAACTTCTAACTGTGCAGGAAGATTTGGGTACTTGTTCTAAAAATCACATGCATGCACGCACACACACTCAGAGATATGCTCTTAAGCTATCAAAATATTATCATTTAAGATTAAGAGTCAGACTTCAATCTGCAGGTGCAAGGGCACTTTGAGACTATAGCCTGTCCTTAATTCACCCTGTTGTTAGTAAGTAAGTGGCTCAATCTAAAACACATCCAGGCTTTCAGATAAGTCAAAATAGTGAACAGAGGTCTTAACAAAAGTCCTGTATATTTGAAAATGTTTTCATATGTTCATATGTTCGTGCCACAAGGTGTTATGTATGTACTTTGAAAGCAGACACCATACAGTGACCACACTTACAAGGATCACTAGAATCCTTTTGCCAGAGATTGGGCTAGCAATGTCTTAGCTAACTAGACTGTATAGCAAAGTCAGTCCAGTTTTGTTGTTTTTTTTCCCTACACTACATGTTATTATTAGCTATATGTGATAACTAATGACTGTGAAATGTTATTTAACCATTCCTGAGCATACTGAAGGTTTGCCTTTAAATGTGATAACCATGGCTACCATGGTTGTCCTTCTGCTTTAAACAGTGTCTCAATTGTGTACATGCTGTTCTCTCTATGTTGATACCATTCTTGGATCAACCAGATGCACTCTTTTGAATCTGGTTGTAATCGTTTAAACTGTTTTCCCCAGATGTCTGTCTCTCCTCTCTGCCAAAGATTGCCCTGTTCAAAAAATCAACAGAAAAAAGTGTTTGCCTGCTCCAAGACACTATCCCACAGCATTGGTAAAACCTGTGGTTATTAGAGACTCTGGATAAGAAGCTTGACTTTTTATTGGAGCTGGATTTATTCAGTGACTTTTATTTACTTCTTCCAAGTCTTTTTCAAAGACAGGAATCTCTCAGAAGGTGATAGGATAGTCAGTTTGGAAAGCAATGCCTAAAATCATTAAAGCAAGATTTAACATAAATTATCTGTTAAAGACCTTGAATGAAAAAAAAAAGAGAAAATATTTTGTCTACACTTTAATTATTTTATTAGTCTGTTATCTGTGTTAAATTTATCAGTATGTGAATGTTTGACATTTACTGGTAAAAGTACTCTCAAGGAAGGACTTTCAAAGATAATGTATACAAGTATCTGAGGAAACCCACGTCTTAAATTTGTGGTGTGTTTGTCTGATTGGAAAGGCAAAACAATCCCAAGATATTTATTTCATCCATTACAACTAAAGAACAGAAATAGCATTTTCAATAACTGAGTTTAATCATGGGCTAGTTCATGTTGGAAGGGGCCTCAGGAGTTCTGTAGTCCAACCTCCTGCTCAAAGCAGGGTTGACTTGAGGTTAGACCAGGTAGTTCAGGGCTTTATCCAGTTGGGTCCTGAAAACCTCCAAGGACAGACAGAGCCTGTATAGCATCTCTGGGCAGCCTGACTGTCCTCGTGGGGAAACAGTTTCTCCTTATATATAGTTGGAACTAATGCTTCTTGTCCTCCCACCATGTGCCATAGTGGGGAGTCTGGTTCTGTCTTCTCAATAACCTTCTTGTAGGTACTGGCAGGCTGCTATTAGCTCCCCCAAAGCCATCTCTTCTCCAGACTGGAGAAGCCCGGCTTCCTCAGCCTTTCCTCATGGGGCAAGTGCTTCAGCTCCCAAACATCTTCATGTCTCCCCACGGAACTCACTGCAGTTTATCAATCTCTGTCTTTTACTGGAGAGACCAAAACAGAGTGCAGTACTCTCACTGTGGTATAACGAGTATTGAGTAGAGGGGGATAATCCCTTTCCTCAGTTTACTGGCTATGTTCCTGTTACTACAGCCCAGAACGCTGCTGGTGGGCTTTTTTTTTTTTTCCTTTTTTTTTCTGCCTTTTTTTCCCCCGCCCCTGCTAGGTCACACTGCTTGCTCATGCTCAGCTTGTTTCATAAAGTTCCTCTTGGTTCCTACCTTCAGCAGGTCTAGGTCCCTCTGGATGGCAGCCTTGCCCTCAAGCATATCAACTGTTCCCCCCAACTTGGTGTCATCTGCAAACTTGACAAGAGTGCACTCTAGTGCCTTCTCCTTCTTCATTTTTCCCAGGATTAATTCTCTCACGTGAAAGCCCTAGCAGACTACAGTGACCAGGCACAGCAGAACTAGGTACTGCATGATAATCATCTCCCAAGTGCTTATCAATTTAACTGTCTTTTAGCTTTCATTTTTTTTTGTTAATACAATAAAAAGCTGAAATTTTATGCAAGACATGTGAGTTTCGTTAATATTCATGTGTTATGATCCTAGAATGAGCTTAAAAACCATAATATTTATCTGGTTTTAGACTTTTCTGTGTTGGCAACGTAAGTAATAGGTTAAGCAGCATAACACGAGACAAGTGCAGGATTGATGACGTATGAGATTTTTGTTGTCCCTTGCACAGTTGATGTGCAGCTATACAAACAAAGTTGCATTCACTGCTTTCAATTATGAGACTTAGATTGTCAGGTGATTCTGGGTACCAATGATTCTGAGTACCATAAGTTGGCAAAGGCCAGCTTCTGTCATGCTGAAAGATTTGTGGAACCACTGAACACTAGCCCTCTGAAATTCAGTTTATCTTACTGTGATCTCATGTGTACTCATCAATTTGTGTGACACATTTGATAGGAACTCAGAGGAGAGGAGATAACAGGAAAATAGCCTATTGACATGCAGTAGCATAGATACAATCAAGCAGGCTGACCTAAATGATGCTTCCACATACATCTCCAAAAATTACAGAGGTTTCACATAGGCCAAGATATAAAGAAAAAGCAAATTAATTGCACATCCATCAATATATGTCCTGGTTACTTTCTCATGAATGACAGGGGAATCATAACCAACTTTGATAACAGATACAGTAAATCAGTTAAATGATCAGTGTTTTAATCAGCATTTTGAGCTCAAAGTCTGCACAAAATTATGGTTCATCAAATTGGAAAGTGGAAATATGGAATTATTTGTTAAATCTGTCCCAGGCTGTCTGTTGGTACCAATCATTTTGTCAAAGCCTTGTCACCTTCAGTGAATATTACGTATAAAATGTAAGTTACATCTTCCAACCCCTATAGTGTAGTTCCGTGGTAGCACCTGTGGGATGTACAGCTCACTGGGTGAGGGAGAAAGTGATAGTGCAAGGTTTCACAAACCAGCTCGTTCTTCTGCCAGAAATCTGTGGTACTGGGTGTTGAGCGGCACTCTTCCTTCATGGGTATCAGGCACGAAGGAAGTCACGTAGAGACAGAACAATTCTTGTGCATTTATGGTTGCCACAGCCTTCACTGGGGTCTGAGCCATCCTTACCAAAATTAACCCATGGAATTCACTAAAGAAGTACGGAAGCAGTTTCTTTTAGCTGTTGACCTGTCTAATGTGTTCAGTTGGAACCACAGAAGATATAACTGCAGCCTCGCTTGTCATTTTTCTTACTTTTTTCATGATGTATGCTATATTACAGCTGCTCCTGTTCATCTGTTCTCCACTCCAACAATTCATTTTCAGGCACAGCAGAACAGGTGGGGAGGTGGTATTAGAGATGGACTCCAAACAGGATGATGTGAATTAAAGCACTAATGTATGATTCTGCAACACATAGATGGGATGGGGAGGGGTGGGGTGTAAAAATAAAAATGTGTGGACTTAATGGGTCAGAAAGAACCTGTGTAATCATTTAAGTGTCCTCTTTGAAACACATACCAAAGAATGCTGCTTGATAATTTATGCTCTATACCTGTGTTTTCCAGCAGAGTTTTGATATGACTTTTGGTGTTAGAAAAATTAAGGGTATCATTAGACTAAATTTTAAAGAGACATGGGAAGGAGGTTTTAAAGGGCTGCATTGACAAGTCTAGCAACTTGTATGTAAGAGTTTTCACTACTGTATTCTGTAACCAGTCTCCAAGATTAAACATTGACTGATTAAACATTGACTGACAACAGAAAGGGTGATGTGGAACTCACTGATGTTACCATCAACTCCAAGAGGCTTTTCTTCGGACTCACTGTGACCAGCATTCTGAATGAGTGAGGTAGAATTTTCTTCTTAACCCTGAAGTTAAATGTTTCCCATTTAATCAACATTTTTCTTGTCATGTAAGAAGATGGCTTAAAGCAAACAAAATCACCTCTGGTATATTCAGAGCTTGAGCATTTTCTTAATTAGAGTGCTGTATTTCAGCAACAGCCCTGGAACCTTGTCAGGGTCCCCTGCTGAGATGTGCATGAGGTACATGTGATTTACAATAATATCTTAGCAAAAACATTTCTATGAAATGATAAATTACTGCATATTTATTCTGCTTAAAAATTATGTCCTTTGACAGTCCTCTGTAGGAAATGTCTCAGCAAGAAGCAGAAACACGGTCGTGAAAAATGGAATATAGTTTCAAACCAAAGCAGAGCAATTTTTTTCAGTCTCAACACTAAAGAGGTAAGCTGTAGTAGGTGTTAAACCCTTTGTGAGCAGCACACATTAACCATTGCAACACCCAGTTGCTGTTATTGCTGTGTGAGTATAACATGCCTACAGCAGTCAGTAGGGCCTACCTTGTGTACAGATCCTGCAGCTAGACCACCAAAAGGTATTAAAAATGGGCCAGAGTGATGCAAGTAATAAAGCCTCTGATCTACATCTTTGATGGTGTCAAGTGACTGGAACAAAAGATGCTCTCATCTGGCTCTATGAAGAGTTAGATTACTCTTCCTATGGCCAACTTTAATTGTTCAGCAGGCCTAAAGCCTCAAACTTTCTAGAAAAATGGAAGTGGGCGTTGGGTGATTTCAGAGGGACAACTGAGTGAGTGTCATTTAAAGGCTGACACTCCCCCCTGCCCAAATCCATCCCTGATATACAGGAGTTGTGAGCAAGACGAGCTGCTTTGTCTGCCAAAGATACTGTTAGTTTGTCACTGAGACTTTCATAAAGGGGCAAATAGCGGTTTTTAACTTTTGGGGAACCCATAGCTAGTATTTCAAAATTGCTGGCAAATACTTGCACAAGCTCCCAAAGGGAAAATCATCCAGGGTCTTGATGCTGCTAAACATAGGAATTTAGGGTTTGGTCTTCACAGCAGAGAAAGGAGGAACTTAATCCTAGGAGACTATGGGATATAGGAAATCACACACCAAGTGACCCTGAAAACGTAGCTGTGCTGGTACACATAATAGCCTTTACCCCGCGGGGCCACCTTATGGGTCTTCGTTTCTAATAGCAGAAGGAGTCTTAACACATGGCATGAAGAAAGGGCCCTTCCACTTTTCAGCTGTGCCTTTTGCCAAATGAGATGAACTTCGCTCCCTCATCTAAAAAAAGAAGCAGAGCCAAAAGGTAAAGAGTGAGTGAATTCCTTGAGATCAACTGTTTGAAGCCAATGACAAAGACTAATCCAGGAACCCAAATCTCCTGACCTCCTGACTGCTGTCCTATACATGATGCTGCCTGACATCATCCCTTCATTTTGTTTGTTTTCAAAGATCACTCTTTCAGCTTTGCAATGTAACAGGCTGTTAATAGATATTTGCTTTTGTATCAGTGACTGAGGGAAACATAAGGGTGTAGTACTGAGGCAGTTGGTCTGTTTATAAAATGTCAGAGTGCAAGACCTGGGGAGATAGTAGGCGTTGCAGATGCACTATCTAAAAAAGATAAAAAATGACCTACCAGCTATTTATCTGAGGCCTTCGGGGTAGTAACGTACCACTTGTGAAAATTCTTCTGCCCCCTAAATCCCATTTTAAATAGTCAACCTATCCATATGTCCCTGAGCTTGGTGATAATACTCTTGGGTGCACTGACAATGATTGCTGAAGTCAGAAATGATCAACATATCCAATATGCCACTTAGAGCAGCAGCAGATGTTTCTGGCTTTCAAATGGTAAGGGAATTACTGACTAGAAAACCTGGATTGTGGGTTGTTTTTTGGTTTTACCCCTTTTTTCCCATTCTGTAGTGGAGATTAAGATTTTTTTTCTCAGATATTTATTGCTTCATATTTGATTTGATTTGGCTACCTTAGAACAACTCTTTACCATACATTATCACAGGGTTATTGGTTCCCCACACAGGGAACTTGGTTGATCCAGAGGCAGAGCAGAGGGAAGATGTAGTAAACTGTCCTCTTCAGTCTGTGATACAATCTCGAGCCTTGTGATTCCCAGAGCTGGGCTTACACTTTCATGGAGTCTCTTCTGTGGTACAAACCTTTCCACTAATGGTATGCAAGTTGAGACAATAAGACAGAATTCCTCTTGGAATTATCCAAAATCTCTGGTACAATCTGAACGAGGTGCTTTCCAATATACAGAGAACACACAGTGTGCAGAAGTGAAAAGCATGACTCATCCCACTGTTTTCCCTTGGCGTGAAAGATTCATGCAATGTACGGTGCAGTAGTCCCTGTGTGATGTACTTTGCTGCATTTCCCATATTCTGTTCTGTCTGAGTTAGGTAGAAACTTGATACCTGAAACATGCTACTCAATATTGGAGCACATGATATCCTTCTATGGAAGTCTTTACGGAAGCATGAGCATAGCTCATAGGAAGGTACTTTACATATGACAGCATTTCCCTCATTTAGGATTTGTGGGAGGAAGAAGGGCTTTCAGCTTGGCTTCACAAGGCTCTAGACAAGATGGCACTAGGAAGTTCGAATATAATTCAAAAATTATTTCCATAACTTTCACAGAAACCCCCATACATCTCCACAGGGCTTCAACCTAATTACTATTGTCTCTTTTTTTTATGCTTAGTTACTGAACGCTTGTAAGAAATTACCTGTTAAACAGTTTCCAAACTCCTGCCAAATTAACTCCAACTGAAGATAAGGATTTCTGTGATACTGTTCAATTGATGACACTTTTGCTGAATGCAGAATCTATGTTTGATTATCCTCTGATATCACAACACAAATACCATGTAAGCAAAAAGAGAATCAGGTCATAATACATAAAAACATAATAAAAATTTTACAAAATGAAAATTACCTTCTTTCTTTCTTTCTTTCTTTCTGGGCAGAGGAGTATGTAAATACTATAAGAAATATAAGTGTGCT